GGTGTTCGGCTTGTCGATGCGTTGGCAGTCACCGTCGGAATAGCTTGGTTTTCGCTTTCAGTCATCATTTTTTCTGTAAAATAGCTTGAATTCCTTCCATACGATTTTCTGAGTTTCTACTCCTTTGTTCTGCATTGTTTTAACTTCAATGACGACTGAAAGCGAGTAGAAACAAGCTATTTTACAGAAACAAGCTATTTTAAACAAGCTATTCTGCATTGTAAAATAGCCGAAGCCGAGCAGAGCGAGCGACGACGACGACGACGCGAGGCTTGCTTTTTTCTTAACTCTTTAAGAGCTACAAGAAGAGCAATTATATATATACCCACCAAAAATCTTTTCCTCTTCCAATATGGGACAATGTCTCATTGTCAAGAGGGGAAAACTTAAAATTTTACTCAAAAATTTTATTTTTCCTCCATTTCCCATTCACCCTCATTTTAAGACTATTTCATCTTAAAAATAAAAACCTCAACAATCCCCCACATGGATGGGGAATGCCTATATCACGGAAGTATGCTTGGAAAAACGGTGTGATTTACAAGCAAGGAATAATCGCATCTGGATAAGTAGGTTTCCTTTGAACTTTCCGTAGTAAACTTTTGTAGGATATACTCGGTCAATCGGTAGATTTGATATCTTTGAACCGTCGATCTTTGGTGTATACCTAGACAACCATAAGNAAACCATAAGTCACACGATCAACTCTTAACCGTCTTTAGTTCTCATTGTTGTGTTCGTTTCAGCTATGAACACCGCCTGGTTTCATAAGTGCGTAGAGAACTGGCCTTACAAAGTTCTCCTTGAAGCGGCTNTTTTACATTGAGTGTTTGGCTTTCTTGACATAGGAGATAGAACAAATTTACGTGCTCTACGTAGCAAAGCTAGCAATCGTAACCATAAAAATTCTATCTTCAGCTCGAGGTAAAAACAGAATAATCATTCAATCAGTCAAGATCTAGTCAAATATTAATTTGGATAGTTGTACATATTAGTTTTGTAGTCCTTTATAAGTTTATTTTTAGTTTTATATATATATATTTTTTTAGTAGATTTTTATTTTTACTTATCATGTTTTTTTAAAAATAACACACAAGAGATTGTTGCAGGATTATTTTTTTTATTCAAATTGCAAATGACTATGTTCACCCATTTCATGGTATTTATTAGTTACACTTGAAGGAGAAGAGTCGTATTAAAGCGAATATAAATCTTATGACCACTTTATACATTGCCAAATGATATTTTTACTTACTACCACATACAAGAATCATCCACCTCCCCACTGTCTTTTTCCTTCTTTGTTTTCTTTTATAAAAGAAAACCCCTAAAATGAGACTTCCCAATACATATCGTAAAGGAATCGCCACAAGTTAAAAAAAATGGCCATTTGGAGACAATACCTTTTCTGCCATCCTTTTTCCTCCTTATCATTATTGTGGAACTAGTGCCTATATAAAGGGTCTTTAGCCATTATCCTTTGTAACAAACACAAGCTCCTTCTCTTCCTTTCTACTACTAAACTATTACTACCAACTTTCTACACTTACACACAAAAATGGCACATAGAAAAGACCTTGCCAAGATAGGCAAAGAAGGATTTGATCTTATTGATGAATTCTGTTGTAGTAGAAAGGAAAGACCTTCTGCTCATCCACAAAGGCCTTATTATTATGCTCCTAATATAGAAAGGCCAAATCCAACTTCTCTTTACCGATACCATCCTCAAAAATCTCAGCTTGTTCAGTTGCATCCAACTTCTGCTACTGAAGAAAGAGTTTGTAATATTAATAGTTATGAAGCTGTGCAGATGTATCAAGGGTTGCATTACTCTTCCAACAGGAAATCATCAACTGCTGTGGCCTTTTAATTATCCACTAGCTTGCTTTTATGTTGTGTTAACAGTAAACATATATGTATAATTAGGTGTACCAAAAAAAATGTGTAATTAGGTGTACCAAAAAAATGTATAATTAGGATGTTTGGTATGTGCTAATGTGGTATTAGAGATCTTGTGAAGATACTACATATATAGTCTTCCAGATCGTCTAAGCTGAGTATGTAAGTGATGATGTTTATATATATCATCTTCACTTATAGTAAATGCTTTGTATATCATGCTCTCTTCTGGTTTTAGTCATGAAGGAATTTTCTAATTTTCCCTTTTCACTTTCTAGTGGGATTGTAGTACTTAAAAAAAAAACAAGACAGATCACCTAAACAAAGAGATCATCAAACATGTTTAGTAAATTTGCTAAGCAGTCTATTGAAGTATTTCTTCAAACAGAGATGAAAGAACAAATTAATGATAAGAACAGATATTACGATTATTACATACCTATGCTAGTCTTGACTTCTTATGGAATTGAAGATTGGTATTAGTCTACCTTTTACTGTAATTTCCGATTTATAACTTTATTTCCGGACAGCTTTATGATCCGTTTGTGGCAATAATTAGAGTAATTGTTAGAGGCGCGAATAAAGTCTCGATTTGATAGTTAATTAAGGGGTAAAAGAGGTTAAATATAATGTGCAAGGATAGTTTTAAACGGCGTGAGACATTTGGGGTGTGGGCTTTGCATGAAATGGACAATGTCATACCATGTTAAGAGTGTATTTGAGGTGATATTTGATCCAACGAACTATTTTTAAAATGAATGATCCAAAGTGACAATTATGAAGATGGAAGGGTGATGGTGCATAGAATGGTCCTATGAGAAGCTTGCAAGTTTTGATACTAACAAATAGGAATTTTACCTAGATACACTATATTTTAAACTTAGTTACTCATATTTGAGAGGTTATCGCTTAATTACATTTTAGTATACAAATTTACCAATTATATATAAATTAATGATAATTGAGTATCAATTAGCAATAAAGTATTTAATTGGTAATAACTAATACACACGCTTACAGTTACCTACCCTACCCACGTGCTCATCTAACCCATCCACTTGCTTAAATAACGACTAAAGTTGCTTAATGANAATGTTACAGATACACCCACTAACTTAAGTAAATTACGTTCAACTACCATGACCTCACATCACCAATCTCATTACTCCCCTCAAGATGGAGGGTGCAAAGATGTTAAGAAACCCCAGCTTGGAAACCAAATACTCGTGTTGTGGTCTGCTAAGTTCTTTTGTTAGGATATCTGCTTGTTGCTCTCTTGATTGCACATGTCTTGGTGCCACACTTCTATTCTGAACCTTCTCACTTATGAAGTGGTAATCGATTTCTATATGCTTTGTTCTCTCGTGGTAAACTGGATTCTCAGCAATCTGAATTCCTGCCTTGCTATCACATAGTAGTGTCACAGTCAAAGTCAAATGGACACCAAGTTCTAAGAATAGTCTGATTAGCCAAGTAACCTCTGATACTACAGAAGCCATGCTCCTATACTCAGCCCCTACTAAACTTTTGGAGACTGTTGTCTGCTTCTTTGACTTCCAAGATATCAATGACTTTTCAAACTTTACCAAATATCATGTCACTGATCTTCTAGTGTTTGGGCATGAGGCCTAATCAGCGTCACAGTAGGCATTAAGTTGTGTTGCTGGTTTGCTTGGTAATAAGACACCCATTCCTGGTTCTCTTTTGATGTACCTCACTATTTTCAGTGTTGCCTCTATGTGAGACCTCTTGGGTTGTTGTAAGAACTGATTCAAGGTTTGTACAACAAAGCTTATGTATGGCCATGTCATGGTGAGCTATAATAGTTTCCCTATCAACTTCTGGTATGAGACAATATTTTTCAAGAGTTCATCTTCCTTTTCTCCCATATGATCATCATATTCTTTGCTAGTTAACTTTAGATTGCACTCTAGAGGAGTCCATGCTGGTTTGGCTCCTCCTAAACATGATTCTAAGATAAGATGCAAAGCATACTTCCTTTGATTCATAAGAATTCATTGCTTGGATCTTGCAAAGTCTATTCCTAGGAAAAACTTCAATTCTCGTAGATCGTTTATCTTAAATGCTTGCTGTAGAATGCCTTTTGTATCCAAGACTAAGTATGTGTCATTCCCTGTGATCAGTAGATCATCAACATAGATAAGAACCACTGCTATCTTTGTCCAATCTTCCTTATCAATAGAGAATGATCTAGTTGGCTTTGTACAAATCCTGACTACACTAGTGCCTCCATAGGTTTCACATTCCACTGTCTTGATGCTTGTTTTAGTCCATAAAGGGACTTAACAAGCTTGCATACCATGGCTGACTCCCCTTGTTGTGAAAACCTTGAGGAATCTGCATGTATACTTTATCATAAAGGTTTCCCTGTAGGAAGTCACTGTGTACATCTATCTTATGGATGAGCCAGCCTTGAACTGCTACAATAGAAAGAGCCACCCTTATTCTAGCCATCTTGGCAACTGGAGAAAAAGTCTCCTGGTAGTCAAGACCCTACTTCTGATTATACCTTTAGCTACCAGCCTTGCCTTGTATCTTTTAAGTATTCCACCTGCTTTGTACTTTAATTTGTAAGCACATTTACATCCCATTGCTTTCTTACCTGGTGGCATACTTTATCATAAAGGTTTCACATTTACATCCCATTGTATCTTTCAGCATTCATTGCATCAACCCATTTAGGATCTTGTGATGCCTCATTGAAACAAGTAGGCTCAACACTTGCTGAATAGCTGCTATGTGTACTTGGTATTTGGATGACAGTCCTCCATAGCTCAGGTATTTTTCTAGTGAGTAAACACATGAACTAAAGGCTTGTGTAGCTACATAATCTTTTAGCCATGTCGTAGAGCCTTGTCCCTAGAAGACCTTTTTAGAGAGTTATCTAAATTCTAAGCATTGTGGTCTGGGCAAGGATGTGCAACTTCAGCTCCAGTTTCATGACTTATGTCTTCATTTGCAATCTCAATTGCAGAATCAATATGTTCAGATGCTTCTCTAATAGCAGGTTCTGCATATGGCATGTATGCCATTTCATCTTCTTGGTAGAGAGTGGTTGATTCTTCATTGCTGTCAGAGTCATTGGGTACCACTTCTTGAGTATTATCTGATCCTTCAACAGCAGCTGATTCAGTGACATCTTCATTATGTGGCCATTAACCGAGAGCAAATAAGGGAGTCACGTAACACTTATGCTGTGGCCTTTTAATTATCCACTAGCTTGCTTTTATGTTGTGTTAACAGTAAACATATATTTATAATTAGGTGTACCAAAAATATATATAATTAGGTGTACCAAAAAAATGTATAATTAGGATGTTTCGTATGTGCTAATGTTGTATTAGAGATCTTATGAAGATACTATATATATAGTCTTCCAGATCGTCTAAGCTGAGTATGTAAGTGGTGATGTTTACATATATCATCTTCACTTATAGTAAATGCTCTATATATCATGCTCTCTTCTGGTTTTAGTCATGAAGCCTGACGCACACAGTGGCAAGCGGATTCAACTGAATCCGCTTCATCAAAAAATAATATTGTATAAATATTTTATTTGAACTCACTTGACAACTACTATTTTACGACTAAAGTTATGTACTTCTAAGATTGAACCCGCTTGCACAAAATCGTGGGTCCGCCTGACGAAGGAATTTTCTAATTTTCCCTTTTCACTTTCTCTTGGGATTGTAGTACTTAAAAAAAAAAAAAACAAGACAGATCACCTAAACAGAGAGATCATCAAACATGTTTTGTAAATTTGCTAAGCAGTCTACTGAAGTATTTCTTCAAACAGAGATGAAAGAACAAATTAATGATAAGAACACATATTACGATTATTACATACCTATGATAGTCTTGACTTCTTATGGAACTGAAGAATGGAATTAGTCTACCTTTTACTGTAATTTCCGATTTATAACTTTAAATTTATTTGCTCATATTTGAGAGGTTATCGCTTATTACATTTTATTATAAAACTTTACCAATTATATATAAATTAATGATAATTGAGTATCCATTAACAATAGTGTATTTAATTGGTAATAACTAATACACACGCCTACTGTCACGACCCAAAATTCTATTATAGGTCGTGATTGCACCTAACGCCGCCGTCAGGCAAGCCAACGGTGGTTTACCAAATTAATTACTCATTTTAGTATCTTGAAATCATAATTTTCCTTAATTGAACAGTATAAAATAAAATTTATAGAGTGAATAAAAATATTTACACGAACCTCAATAATGATTAACCTGAAGGAACCCCCAAACCCCGGTGTCACAAGTGCAAGAGCTTTTGCTAAAGAGTACAATAATAATATAACATTTGTCCCGAATGTAATAAGACAGAATAAAATAAATAGTACAATAGGGACTCGGTGGACTGCGATGCGTAGCCTGGAATGCAGCTCACATGAAGTCTCCCCAACAGGTGCGCCTACGTGCCAAGGTGGTCATCAATGAACCTGTCAGATCTTGCACATCTAGTGTAGAAGTGCAGCATGAGTACCTAAAACAACGCGTACCCAGTAAGTATCTAACCTAACCCTGGAGAAGCAGTGATAAGGGGTCGGCATCGACACTTACTAGAGGTCCAAGCAACTAATATAATAATCCATAACAGGTATGAAGTGCACACGGCAATAGTGGAGTAAATCTGTAATCTCATAATTTTCCAATCATTTTCTTTAAAGCGTAACTTTCTCAATCTTGTATTCCACCTTAATAACTCAGAAGAATGTCAAGTGTGATTATCAATAATACCATGTAAATACTGGGCATCAGTGGGGAGATTAGCTCGTGAATATTCGGACTGCTAGAGATATTACGCTCGATTTTGCTGAGGTCGTTCGGCCCGATCCAGAATAATGTGTACACTACCGAGGGTCGAGTGGCACGAACCATAGATGCATCTAGATACTGACGAGGTGTTCGGCACGCTCCACAAGAAAAGAAAGGAAGTTACTGTATTACAAGACACGTATTTATAATACCGTACATGGACACAAAATGAATATAAACTTTACTGTTTCCCAAGTAACTCGCCCATGACTCAAAGTGTTAAGGCTTGGCCTAGTATACATATACTTACTTCTAAATCAATTTCATTTATAACTTTAATTAATTAAGCAACAGAACGGGTTCAAATAATTCAATTATACATGATAAAGTCTTAAGTCTACCCTGACATAAATATGCTTTAGCTACGTACGGGCTCTCGTCACCTCATGCGTATGTAGCACCCACAATTAGTTGTACATAACAATAAATATTATCTAGGGGTAGTTTTCCACTCATAAGGTTAGACATGAGACTTACCTCGCTCCGAAATTTAAAAATCGGCTCCAAGGCATCTCTAACACCTCAAGCCAAAGCCCGTCGATCCAAAACTAATCAAACAAAGTGCAAAACAAACAAAATATATGCTGATACCCATAATTAATCAATTCAAACAATTCTCAACTCCGTTCAAAAAGACTATAAAAATCAACCCTCTGGCCCACATGTCCGGATTCCAAAAATTTTCAAATGTAAACTTTACCTATAACACCACGAACTAAAATATATAACTTATTCCAAATCTCATGTCCAATTTCGTGGTCAAATATCAAAAATAACAAATTCTAGGTTTTCTATCAAAAATCCCATAATTTCTACTAATTTTCATATTTAAATCCTTATAAAAATCATGTATTTAACTTGTAATAGGTGGGAGCCACTTACCTTGTGTTGCTAGATAAAAATCTCCCCTTGAAGCTCTCCAAAATAGCCCCAACCAAGTGAAAAATGAAAGAAAATGGGCCAAATCCCTTTTTTATAAAAACCTTATTGCCCAGCGTACTTTCGCTTCTGCAGCCACATGAGTCGCTTCTGCGGCACCTCATTTGTGGAGGCCACTAAGCCGCCCAACCACTTCTGGGGTCAGGTCCCCGCTTCTGCAGGAGCGCATCTGCACGAACGAACCCACTTCTGCGGACCAGCCTCATCAACCCTGCTTCCGCTTCTGCGGCCCTATAAGCGCAGGTGCGAGTCCGCAGTCCCCCAGTCCATTCCTCTGCATCTGCGCAACCCATCCCGCACCTACGATCAAAGCTCCGCATGTGCGGTGACACCAGCAGAGCCCAGTCTTCAACAATCTCACAACTTCAAACTTTGACCCGTTAACCATCCGGAATTAACTCGAGGCCCCCGGGACCTTGACCAAATATATCAACCAGTCCTAAAATATCATACAGACTTAGTCGAGCCTTTAAATCACATCAAACAATGCTAAAAATACGAATTGTGTATCGATTCAAGCCTGATGAACTTTAAAACTTCAAACTTTTACATTCTACGCCGAAACCTATCAAATCAAGTCCGATTGACCTCAAATTTTGCACACAAGTCATAATTGATATTACGGACCTACTCCCACTTTCAGAATCAGAATCCGGCCGGCCCCGATATCAAAAAGTCCACTCCCGGTCAAACTTCCCAAAAATCATCCAATTTCCAACTTTCGCCAATTGACGCCAAAATAACCTACGAACCTCCAAATCAACATCCGGGCACGCTATTAAGACCAAAATCATCATACGAACACATTACAACCTTCAAATCCTGATTCCGAGGTCATTTACTCAAAAGTCAAATCTTAGCCAATTCTTCCAACCTAAAGCTTTCGAAATTAAAATTTACTTTCCAAATCAATTCCGAATTTTCAGAAATTCAATTCCGACCACACGTACAAGGCATAATACCTGAATTGAAACTACTCAAGACCTCAAACCACCGAACGACACGCTAGAACTCAAAAAGACCGGCCGGATCGTTACACCTACAATTACCCACCCTACCCACGTGCTCATCTAACCCATCCACTTGCTTAAATAACAACTGAAGTTGCTTAATTATAGAACTCACACATACAAAAATGGAATTGAGAAGAGGAAATCAAGCTCAACAACTTCTTCTTTAATTTAGTTAGATATTTGTATATATATATATATATATATATATATATACAAACATCTAACCACTAACTAACATTTAACAGCTAAGCCATATGTAGGTAGTTACTAACTTCTAATGCTCTAGATACACCCAGTAACTTAAGTAAATTACGTTCAACTACATGGACCTCATGTCACTAATCTCATTACCCCTCTCAAGCTAGAGGGTGCAAAGATGTTAAGCAACCCCAACTTGGAAACCAAATACTCGTGTTGTGATTTGTTAATTCCTTTTGTTAGGATATGTGCCTGTTGCTCTCTTGATTGCACATGTCTTGGTGCTACACTTCTATTCTGAACCTTCTCCCTTCTGAAATGGGAGTCGATTTCTATATGCTTTGTTCTCTTGTGGTAAACTGGATTCTCAGCAATCTGAATTTCTGCCTTGCTATCACATAGTAGTGTCACAAGCAAAGTCAAATGGACACCAAGTATTGAGTATAGTCTGATTAGCCA